TCTCTTTCCCTGCGCGCCATCCGAAAACAATTTTCCCCGCTTTTCTCTCGTCGCGAGGTAAAAATACGTTCGTAATTTTCCGGAAGGACGATCCTCCTCCACGTCGTAATTTTTATATAATATTCGAAGGAACTTTGAAAAGGAAATTTTCAAAATCATTTTCCATTCGCTTTGTTATTCCGATAAACTTTCGTATCTTTCCATTTCAAAATCAGATCATCCGCGACGCGAGTTCATAGAACAACGAAATCTACGAAATAAAGTTCCCTTTTCGATAGATTTATCCGCGCGTGTTACACGCGTCGATACATCGACAAGCTGTCAAAAGCGGCGCGGCGTTTTGTAAAAAAAAAAATATACGACGAAACGTGGTGGTGGATTTCATCCGACCACTTTGTCCATTCTACGCGCGAGCCGAATATTAAAAAACGGAAAGGAAAAAATCGAGGAAGAAAAGAAAAAGGGAGGGAGGGAAATAGGCCCGACGAACGAGAGACGATAAAGGGGATCGATATCGGTCGGTTTTTCAATTGTTTAATCCGCCCGAGCCGTTCTCGGTGTTTATCGATTTTCCAAGAATCGGCTCTTATTATTCGAGGACAAAACTCGATGGCGAATTCGCCCCAACAGGGTGTTAACACGGAATACCGCCGCCCCTTTTCGATTATCCTCGCTTTGGCCAAGTTTCCGTAGAGAAGAGAGAATCGAAGGCCGATCGGCCGATAAAACTTTGGGGAATTATTTAAATGGCTTGCACTCGATTCGCAGCGATCCCACCCTCCGCGAGATTCAATCATGCGACCTCGCCTCGCTCTCGAATTACTTTCGAGAAACGACCAATCTTCCTTCTATTAAACGGCCGATCGATTTTACAATTTTGTTGCATCCACGTTCTTGCTCCCTCCTCGGGATTAAACTTTAAAACGTGCGAAATTTGCCAATCGGTTTCTTCCTCCTTTGTGATCGTAAACGAGTTCGAACGAGAAGCTTTGGAGGAGAGACCGGGATACTCGAGATTAATCGAATCCAAGGGATGGATGGTTCGCCGTGTTATTATACCTTTTATCGTTCCTATCCATCGATCGTTGCTCGATAAGGTAAGAGCACTGTAAACTTGTGTACGAACGAGTCGAGTGCGACCTTCGAAACTCGTTTTAAGAAAGGATCTTTATATATATATATATACATAGTCGAAGATGATAATTTTGAAATCCTTCGTACAAATCGTATCCTTGGAATGAAGACTTAATAGATGTTAAAGCGAAGAAATTAAGATCAAAAATATCCTCGACTCTAAGGATACATTACTTATTAAGGCACGAAATGCGAAAAAGAATCCTATTTATAGCGGCTCTCAAGGCAAGTCGGTGTTCGAGTTAATAGCGATCTCAGGTGCGCGCCAGTTCGGAAGAGAATGGCCGTAAGGTGGGCCACGGGCGTCGAGCTAATAGGCCTGCCAGTCCAACTGCTGTCGCAGCTCTCTTGTTCCGTTAATCGTTGCGGCCGCTTTGTAATTTGCGGTTCGAATAGCATCGAAGAAGCGATGCTCGATACGAGCGAAGCTCTTTCGTTTCGGAAAGAGGTCAAAGCAGGCTACGAAGCGATTTCTTCCAAGCGAAATCGGCCCGGGTGTTTTTAATTAGCCAACTTTTGACCCGTTCGTAAAATTTGAATAAATTCGCGCGATCGGGAATCGTATTATTTTTCTACGCGTTTAGCTACGAACGTGTAATGGATCGGAGGGAAGGTACGGTATTCCAGGTCATCTGCAATAGGATAGGAATGTGATTGCATCGATAAAAAGCTTCCTTTCAGCGAATTGCGTAAACGAAAATAATGGCAAAGGTCGCATTTTCCACCTAACTACTTATTTACCAGCTAACGATCGTTAATCACGAACGATCTTGCAACGACACGCTTCTTGTCGGAATTTATTATTCCGCGTTCAACTTGACCTTAATAAATATTCATACATCGATTTAACGTATACACCGACGACGGCCAAATTTAAAATTCTTTACGGATTTCTCTCTGTTTTTCGCTGTTATATTAAAAAACAATCGATGGGCGATCAATTAAGCTAGCTCGACGCGTTTGATCCGGAGCAGTCGTTCGGTCGGTTCACATCCTATATACGTTCCCTACCAAAGTAGAAATCAATATTTTGAAACGAAACAATTCAGTTTCTACGTAAAATACTCTGCCCGTCCAACCTCGAACGTACAAATTCGTAATGCAAATTTACAAAGAAGCGTACGATGTTATTAATATTTCTTTTTTTTTTTTTTTTTTTTTTTTTCTAATAGACATCGCGAATCGTATACGAAACGTTTAAATTAACATCAGTGGAATTTCAGGATTGCGCGAGAAGATGGCACGATTAGGTCAGCTATCTAGTTCAAATTTTGCGCATAATTAACACATACCACGTATGATATTTTGGCACGAAATTTTGGCAAGATGAAAATCAAACGCAAATATACATATACATACGAAGAAAAATCTCTCTCGATTCAACAAAATTACAATAATTAACGATCGTACTTAAGCGTGAACAAAATAAAATAAAACAAAGAAAAACGCCAAGCCCGCGAAATCATCGCGAGGCTCTCCTTGTCTCGCGCGCGTCCGCTCAATGGCTGGAGAGCGAGAGGGAGAGAGGAGAAAATGGTGAAAAGCTTGAGCAGAGAGGCGCGTCCAAGTGGAAGGCACGATCGGGAACGGCGATCCATTCCTTCCATTCTCTCCCTCTCGGTTTCTTTCTCGTCTCACTCTCACCGGCTCACCCGAGAATCGGGGAATGTCCTCGTGGCGAGAGCGGTCGTCAGTGTTCGGTAGACCTCCGTCTGGAACCTAGCCGTGTTCACAGGAAACGGCTCGCTCGCTCGGTGTCGCTCGGTGTCACGTGTAAACGCGAGGCGGAAACGCGCCGTGCCCGATGACGATCCCAAAGGTAGACGAGGGATCACGGTGATCGCGACCTTCTTCCGATTCGACTCGCTTCCTCTGTCTTGTCGGTGGTACGTGTGCCGTATAGAACGCTTGTTCGCTGGGTGTGATGAAACAGGATCGGGACTCGCTTTTGCGTCGTCGTCTCGATGCGTCTTCACAGGTGACGATCCTCGATGACCCAATCATTTTCCCATTATTCCACTTTGATCTTGCAAAAGTATAATTTCTCTCGCTTTTTGAAATTTTGAGTTACGTTTATGAGAAAAGAGACGCGAAGAAGCGTCCATGTTTGTCCACCGTTTGGAAAAGCAAGATCGATTAAACGACGAGAAAGGCAGGTTGTTAAACGCGTACCGCTACGAGCAATTGATGGGAGGCATTGTATCGTTAATAGTTGGCTCGTTCGTTGTTAAACGAGGCATAACTCTTTCACCCGCGATCCCGATGACACTGCATCGACGCTGTAGAAAGCCACGGTGTGGTTGGCGGCGTGATGCGACCGCGAAAGGAAATTGCTCGAAATGACGGTGGGGGTGAAAATCTCTCGAGTGCGGTTCGCGATTTGCGCGCAATTTAATCGAACGATTCAACTGCATTAGACGCGGCGGCCGATCGGCCGGGGAGGGTGCGATCTGTGCCTGGCTGTAATCAGGAGGAAATAATTTGTTTGGTCAAGCACCAGTTACGCGAAATCTGATTGGTTACAGATAATCGATCGGTTTACGTAGCGCGAGGAGGAATTAGGGTCCGTTTGCCGGTTATCATTGCTAATCGTTCGACCGTGTTCACTTCACGGGAACCCGAGTCCCGAATTTTGATTTTCATCGTATATTTACTCACCCGTTTCAAACGAATATTTCCCCGGAAAATATGAAATCGAAATTAATTCGTTTCAACGAATGTTTAATTGTCCGGTAATCGATCGATAACCTCTCGTTCGCGCGTTAATCGCGATATTTTCAATCACGTAGTAGTTTTCCTACGTTAAATTCGTTATTTCGATTTAGGAAGTATCGAGAAATCGAGAGATTCTTTTGATAACCAATTAAAAATATGTTGTATAAGATAGGCGTGAAATTCGGATATCGATTAAACATTTTTCGCGTAATTCGTTTATTCATTTTCATCCGCGGTAAAAAAGTATAAAGAATTTGAGCAATCTTTCTTTGATTAATCGATAAAAGTTGCACGAGAATATTCTCGCGCGTATGAAATGTTGTTTCGTTTCCGGTTCGAGTCACCGGTTTTTCGCGTTCGCCTTTAAGATTCGAGCCAACAAAAATCGGTGACTTTGTCGGTTCGCGACGGGAGTGGCTGGCACGACGTTACACGACGGGAACGTTCCGCGAGGGGAACGAGTGAAAAGAACGGAAAGCTCGGCAGGGATGAAGAGACTTCGATCCCTCTTTGATACCAGGATTTCGCTCCTACTTTTGCATGCGGTTTAAATTCACGAAAATCTTCTTTGGCAATTCCTTCCACGACACCGGAGAGCATGCTCGAATCGCTCGATTTCCAATTTTTTTCTTCCATCGAAGAACATCGAAGAATTTCAAAAAAAACATATTAAAACTCTAATGATTCGACCGTTAAACACCTTCAATTCGATAATTTTTATCTTTAGAATTTTAAATTTTAAACTCCGTGAGAATTCTCTTCTTAACGAGCATTAAAAATAATCATTTTACGTTAAATGAACTTTGCACAAGACGCGACGTTATTTTTATCGTAATTAAATTTTCGCGGCATGCGATATTAGCCGCGCCCTCTAGCGGTTAATCGATAATCGATTCTGACATTAGATCGTGCGCGGCAGTCGTGCGCCCGGTACTGTAACGTTCGTCTTCTTTTTGTACGAATCGTCGTTAACTCTTCATTTTTGAATCTCAAACCATTGAAATATTTCCAATTATCGCAGTGTCTTAATCTTGAGTGTAGTAATTCGTTCTTTTCGTGTGAACGAAGCTTTCAATCGCGTAAATGCTCTTCGCGATTCTTTCGAATGGTTCTCGAGTGTCGATACACGGTGTTCTAATGGTGTGTTCTAGCTGAAACAAGTGTTGCGGGGAGTCGACAAATTTCAAGTGACATCGCTAGTGCCGCGAAACGATCTTACGCGTTATATGCTGTGCAATCGAAACCAAAGTTAAGGACGAGACGAAGAACGAGGAGAGGAGAAGAGAAAGACACCGAGGGAGGAACTCCTTTAACCAGTTCGAAAAAACGGTGAGTCGGCGAAATAAAGTTTAATAGCTTTTACGGTCGTTACTTTTGACGCATAATTATCCTATAGTTTAATAGTTTTCGAAGCGATAACTTTGCGATGTCGCAATATCGCGAGGTAAAAGATAGAAGAAATTGGTAGGAAATGACGGAAAATGGCGGGAAATGGCGGGAACATGGCGGAACATTACGTCACGATACATTTATCGATTTCGCAACAATAGTCGATAATCGATAGAGATTGGCGAATACATAAATCGAGACGAAATTTTATAGGACGTAAATGCTTATTTATTTATAATCATTAATACGATCTATTTTCAAGCGATGATATTCGGTCGTGATGTTAGATTTTTCTTAAAAAATTTCGAGGTTTCGCGACATCTATGAATCGTAAACTATATTTCACGTACACGTGCGCAATGTCTTCGCGTTTGGATCAAATGTTTCGGAATACATTTTTCTATATATTTTCTTTTCTTTGTATTCTTGATTATTTCTTAATTTTCTGATTAATTTTTTAGAATCGTAAAAAAATAAAAAGAAAAAAACTTTAATGCTTAAAACTTCGCATTATATATATATGCATACATGGGGAAACGAGGATCATCGTGTAGGAGGTTATGTTCGAGGTTATGTTCATACATATTTTCGAAAGAAACACGTTTCTATCCTTTTTTGATAAAGATAAAAGTGAAAAATTAGTTTTTGGAGATTTCATTTAACGAAATTACGAATTTTAAGTGTATATTTCTTACACGTGTACAAAAATTTAATTTCTGTCCACGACAAAATATATTTAACGGACACGACAGGGTAAGTTTTGACATAATCGCGGACGATAAACAGCTTCGCGAAGAGTTAACGAGTAATTAAATAAGCGGAAAATTATTTCCGTTATAAGATAACTTTTTGCCAGGATATACCCGATAATTTTGATATACGAACGGTACGAGACGATACTAATTCTCGCGATAAAATTAACCAGAAAATGTTGGATATCCGATAATAAATGGTTCGTGGAGAAATTTTGTTTCGTTGAAAATAATCTTTACATTTTGAAATTTTTCACGTTTTTCCTAACGAAGATTACCGCGGGAGGAGGGTCGAGGATGGAGGTAGACAAAGCAACGAACGAATTTACCGAACATTTGCCTGCTAATTCACCTATGCGAACAGTGTAATCCGGTTATATTGTTGAAACCACAGGAATGTGCGGCTGCGTACCTGTGCGGTTAATAGAACCTCTCCTATTCTCCGTCTATTCGCGCGTGTACACGCGTCCCCTGGTGTATTTACACGTGCGCGATTTGGTAGGCGCGCGCGCGCGCGTGCGTCGCTCGGCCGGTATGCATGGCTCGACCGCGAACAAAAGGGTGAGAAAGAAAGGAACTGGGTCAATGTGATTTCGCCAACTCTTTCCATACCCGCGATCGCAATTTAACTTGCACGACCGCGTGTTGTTCGTTGCGTTTTACGAACCTCCGTTGCCCCATTTCGCCCCTTCCTCCTCCACTCGACATCCCGTTTAAGTGAAAGAACAACCTTTTAATGGGTGTAATCGGGCCGATTTTCACAGACAAAGGAATTCCACGATGAAATTTGCGCTCACCTGCGAATAGTTTTCTTCGAGAGGAAACGTTGCTCCTGTTGCTCGAGTATTCGATATCGGCAAAGGTGTACTGTTTTACCGGTTTGATCACTTTCACTCGGCGCTAATATATTTTGCTCGTTACTCGAGCAACGCTTGGGAAACAAATTTATCCACGCATCGGTCCTAACACGATTTCAATACCATCTCTCTATTGTATACTCTTTTGCGTCATTCGATAACAATAATCGTTCGCCGGCTAGTGGCCGGATGAGAATAGAGAAAAACCAGGAACAAGCTGGGACGAAATTCCGTGTCTCGATTATCGATTCCACACCCCCCTCGCTACGTGTCCCGCAATCGAATTGGCCGGTTTGTCGGGGCTTGGCGAACGTTTGCCCGCCAATTTACTTAGGCACGACGTGCGTGAACCTGCGACAACCTCGTTAACGTTATCGGGTACACGGTAACGTGCAAATGCGCCGCGATTATCGCCCCGTGCAAATTACGCTCATCCCATAGATTAAAATTTTCCCATTGCACGCGACGTATTTCGCGGAATTAAAGAAAGAATCGAGTCCACGGATTTTATTCGAAATTTAATTGCTCTTGATGGAAAAATAGGGATTTTTGTTGGGGATACAAGAGAGGGATATAAATAGTTGAAACAACTTGGTAACTACTAATCAAATACGAGTTGGAGCATCGAAATAGAAAGTCAAATATTTGGGTGGGAAAAAATAACAACGAAAGAGAAATCTTGGAATAAACGTTGAAGGAATTAACGGAAACTGATTATCCAACGTGTACTTATCTCCATCAAGAACCTCTTAGTCCTTCTTATCGTTATTAAGAGCTTTTCGCGAAGTGAAAATAGAGGAGAAAGTCTGCACGCCGTTATCCTCCTCCCGGAAGTTTTCATACACGCTATTCGAAGAAGCTCGACAGCCAAGAGAGAAATCGTAGAAAACCGTGATCGATCGAAGCGCGATTAATTAAGACGACTAAGTTCGTTTGCGCATCTCGTTACATCTTCCAACGTACGCGAAAAGACGTTTTGCTCAATTATCGCTCCATCGTAAATTGGAATGCAATTCTAGACGTCGCATAAGTATGTTGCGAGTTGGAAGCAGTAGACTGGCACGATTGTTAATTTTCGGGTTGGACGTCGTATCGCGATTATCCGAGGGTGCAAATTGCCTCTCTTGGAACGAACTTGAGAGTTACCTGGACGTCTTAATGGGGTTGGCTCGTACTCGTCGCGGATTTAAACAACCTCCGCTTGGGAACCAACTTAACTTCCAGTTAACCGCGAATCTCTCGTTTTCTTTTCCTCGAGGGTTGAAACTCTCGTTTCGATCGAAATTAAGAAAACTCTCGGTTTAAATTCGTAAACATTTTCCTACTACTTTCGTAGAAAACTATTCTTTCTTCTACCATTTGTTCTCGTATCGATCATCCCATTTTTGTCGAATAGTTATTTTACGTTATTCACGACGATACGTATTTTTAAACTTTCAAGACTGGGAAGAAAAAAGGAATGAAGATTGAAATATTTCACGCGTAAAAATGAATTGTTTCAGGATTAAATTGCATTTTTCACAGCTTCCAAAATCGGTATTTATTACGTTCCGTGCATATCGTATCGCGTATCCTTCTCTCGGTATCCGCGATAATAAATCGAATCTCGGCTCGATTGTTTCCCTTTGTTAAATATTTACAAAGAACCCGTGTATTTTTTTTTTTCCCTGCAATTTGTTCCACGGTAAACAGAATCGGCGAGCGTACGGTCATCGAAATTGCATAAATTTTATTATCAATTGACCAATTCTAGCGCTTTTTCCCCCGTACGGTATTATCGACGTCCGATCGAACGAGCATCGATCGTGATTCCGGTGTAATTCGTTTTGTATAAAAACAGAGTCGTTCGATAATTTTTTTTTTTTCCCCCGCGAATTTTGTTTCGGCAATTTCGCTGTGAAATACTCGATTTCGATACTCGTTCGACGATGATCGATTCGACGGCGAGAATTTATATTCCGCAGGGATTATTATTCCGTATGGTTTGTAGCGGGTAAATCTGCAGGGGTGAATTGGTTCGAATAAGTTGCTAGATAGACTAGAATACCGGTTGTTTAGATATCGATTATTGGATATTTGATTCGATTAAATCCGAGCACCGATTCATTCATCCCCGATTATGTATAACCGATATAACTTTTGTTCGTATAATACTCTTTTATGCGATATTATACAATTATACTCGAATTATTGGTATCAGCTTATCCTTTATTGATGTAACGGGTAATCAAGATATTGCATAAATGGTTTAAATAAATATGGGAATATTAGATGGTGAAAAGTTAATTCCCCGATACCGGTGGCGTTAAAATTCAATTGTAAATTGTATGGATGAATAAAAAATAAAAAAAAATCGTACCGATATATCGCCCAAGTTGGAGCAAAATTTGCAGGGGGGGCACCCTTATTTGCATACCGTCTTACGTCACCCAATCTGGCGCGACGAATACTATAATTCTCGTAACCGCGACACTCGTCCCCTTTCTAACTCCGCAACGGAGACGGGAAACGGTTGGAAACGGAACTCGGGCGAAATGACTCGGGAAGTGTTAAACCGCGAAACGTCGCGAAATAATTGTCGTTGCGGATTCGTCCTCGCACCCGTCAATTATATCGCGATCCATTCCGCCATCCTTTTTCCTCTTTCGTCCGTCTATTAATCTATCTTTAACAAGAAGAGCGTTCGAAATTTCCACAATTCGTCACAAACAGCGTTTCCTGCTGGAGAGCAGATTCTCCCTCATTCGAATTTATACGATATTTTTTCCCGTGAAATATATTTAAGTCGAAATTTCAAATAAAACGAGAGAAGCGAATCGTCCCTCGAGTACATTAAACAAAACGGGAAAAATTTGTCGCTTTATTTCCGTCGATTCTTGTGGCCGATCGACGCCACGAATCGGTTAAAAATCGATGGCATTGCGCTCGAACAAGTTTGACCGTTGGTCAGATTGTTCGGGCAACATTCCAATCTTTTCGAAACTAATTACAGTGGCGGAAATTCATATTGATCTCGGCCCCCGATTAATTAAATAACGCGATCGCTAATTTTCTACCTCGAGGCTCCATCGTCGCGATACCGATATGAAATAATAATTTCGAACGGGAAATTTTCTCACAACGACAGCCGGTAATCTCGATCGTAATATTTCCATTTCGTTGTTGCGGGCCGGCTATTCATTTCGCGTTACATACATTTCCAATAATTAAACTTCTCATTATCCCCTTCTTTCTGCTTCATTTTCGAAGCGTTGTGTTTATCGGCAACCGTGCTTTCCATGTCATTTAACAAACAGAATGGACAATTAACGCGACGATCGAGTTTAAAAAT